TTATAAATTAAGTAGAAAAATAAAGTCTCTAAGTTATTTACAATTAATTGAAAACACTAAAACATTTGCTAAATACAAATTCATATGTTATTTGCTTAAAATTTATAATGGATAACTTATGTAAATATTAAATAGATTTCAGAGATTTCTGATATATAAAATATTAATATAAGATCAAATATCTAAAAAGAGACCCTTGTCAAACTATAGGTAACTAATTAAAATGAGCTTAAAAATAAGTCTCAAAGCAATTGAGGGTTATAATCTATTCATGATTTTAAGATGTTAATCATTCATATAAGCACAATTTATTTAATATTCTAATGGCAGTTAGTTTAAAAAAATAAAAAATCGTTTGTTATAAAGATTTAATAGGGACCAGGGATTTAGCTCAGTGGTGCTGTGTCTGCCTCCTAAGTGCAAGATCCTGAGTTAATAGCTATAACTTTCTTGCTTTATTAATGGGTTTGTTTATTCTGCCTAATGCTAATAGTTTTAAGAAATACTAAAATGCTTGCTTGCTTCTCTATAATAAATAATCTGCTATTATTTTATTGTCTATCTTTGCTTAAATTAAGTACTTAAAATGAGTTTTTATTTTTAAATCACTACTTTTACCAAAAATCCTTATAAGGTTCAAAAATAATGATTTTGGATGTTTCTTACCTAAAATATGTTCTATATATATGTTATTCTTTAGATATACAGTGTTTACATCAATATATGACAGTTTGAGACTTAAAAAAGAGTTAATAACATAATTTTAAAATGACTGATGACCTATTGGGGTGGCATAATTTTATGGTAACATGAAAGTTACGTTTTTCCTATAAGTTGATGATATGTTAATAGTATAACTCTTCAATAAAACATTTCTACTTAGATATGATTAGTTCTAAAAATACTTTAAAAATTACAATACTGTATACACAAATGTCAAAATCAGTTAAAACAATAAAGCTTAACATATTGATCTGTTCTTAATAAAATTTAAAACAAAACTAGTCAGTTGTGATTGTCTTAATGTGATAAAAATAACTAAATTGTTTTGTTATACTGTTACCAAATATATTGCTAATAGTCAAAATACTGACACAAGTCACATTCTTCTTAGTCAATAAATATTGGTCTTCCTAAAAATTATATCCTCTTACTTGGTAAAAGAAACACTAATTCTTGCATACTATATTCATAATTGTTCAAAATTCTATATACTTACCTACAAAATCCTAAATGTGATAATAAGATATAATTCTTGGTCTTGGTATTAATAAATTGCATGCTTTCTCCTAGTGAAAATTCACATCAGTTTAAAAAAAGTGGAGACTTACATATATGTTTGATATAGCTTTCTGGCAAAACTAAGCTTGTTTCACAAAAATATTGGCTTTCTTTAATTAACTTGGTCACTGTGTTTCTTAGGTCAAGTCTACTATATAGAGCAAATTTGCTTTGCTCTTTTTGGCTTGTTATATCTGCCTATAAGCTTTACTTGTCAAAATGGGTATGTTTAAGGGTGCTGACTACAAGACAGAGAAAATTACACTTGACAATAAAGTCTATATAAACGTAGCCTAAGAGCTACCCTTTCTGAATCTGTTATTGCTCAAATTTGGCAAAAAGAGTTTTTGTCACTAAGTCCAATCATCTTCCAATGTGGGACATGTTCAGACTGACCCTCACTGGGGAAATCAGCAATGGGAGCCAATGCTGCAGATGCTTAATTGGCAATGCCTTTAAAAAAAAATTAATGTACAGACAAGGGGGAAAAGCTGGGAGCATCAAGGAGTCATCTGTGTGTCAACCCTACTGACATAAATACAGCTACTAAGGTTATAAAAGAGAGTTTTCATGCATGACTGCCTAAAAGCAAAAAGCTCTTTATCAGCTGTATTGGTCTGATATCCCCCGACTTTGGCTTTCTTTTATATTTGACTCCACTACTTTTTAGTGATAAATTTTCAGGCTCAAACATCTGGCTTCTCTTTGGTCCTGTTCCATCTATCTTTGATAAAATCAATAGGCCAGTGAAATATAAGGCAGCCAGCCAGACAACATGGCACCTCAATGCCCCAAAGAATGAGGGCTAAAATAAGCAAGGGGGAATATGTAACTGGCACTAAAAAATAAAACATTTTTTTTCCTTTAAAGACAAATGGCTTCCTGAGGCCTAGGGTATAAGCAGCTTCCTCTACCACCGCCCCTCAACCTTAAAAAATGACAAAATATACAGATGCCAGCCCTAGGAGTCCAGGAGCCTGGTTTCTTAAAAAAAAAAAGATGAGCTGCAGATGGTTATAAATGATAAAGCAAATATACAGATCTGTGTTCTATTTTTGTGTTCACTCCTCTCCTCTGTTCCTTACTATAAAAAACCCTTGGCCACCTATAAATGGGAAATGGTGATTTGAGGTAAATGGGCCCCTCTATCTCCTCAGGCTAGCTTTAAGTAAGTCCTTTTTTCCTTTTTATCCAAATATATGCCCCCCCTTTCATTTGGTCAGTGCCAAGCAGACAAACGAGTGTATGAGCCTAAGCAGCCATTAACAGGTTTACTATCTCAGAGAAAATTACATCACAGAATATATCAAAGAATTATATACCAAAGAAAATTATTAGATCAATGACAATTATACAATGTTTATAGGCTAATTTAACAGATGCCTGATATTAAACTGTACATTTTATATAGTAAATACATACTTCAAGAGTTTATAAAATAAGTTCATGGATTATTACCTCCAAAAATATCATGTACATGGTAAGTTCCCATTAAGTACTTGTGGCTGCATTTCAGATGGAAGTAGCTTTACATACAAGAACAAACCAGTTTTTCTGCTGTTACATATGTAATTGGAAGGAATTTCAAAGATTACTGAAAAAATCTTAGTCCATATGTGATTGACAGAAAATGTTGATTTGTAGGATTTAAAATGTTTCTTTTAAAAAAATACCCAGAATACATAACCCCTGTAGAAAGAAAAATATAAAAATTCTGTATGACCATGTTTGATTACACTACATAATTTAAAATGGAAAGTTACTGGTTGAAAGTTTTTCTACTTATTCTTCTGACAGCATTAATTTGTGGACTAACATTTACATTTAGTTCAGCTGCATTTATGGGACAAGATCTCATTTTCAAAATGGCACCAATTTTCCTTCAGTATAAGGACTCTATTTTTGGTAGCTATTATATCTCTAAAAGTTAACAATTTATCGAGCAAATGTTTTAACTATACTTTTGCTACTATGTACTCATTGGTTGTAATATTTATAAAAGGCTAATGTCTATGTAAAACATTCTTGCAGTCTTCCAACCCAACATGCTAGTCAAAGTTTTTTCCTCCTCTCTCATCTCTGACCTCGTTGGGGAAGTGTGGGAGTTTCAGACAAGGTACACACTTTAGATGGGATACCTGATTTTAAGTAAGTATAAAAACAAGTACAAGATGAAATCATTCTTAATTCAGGTGTATTCTAGTGCCTCAAAAGTTATGTGACAAACAGTACTTACTGACAACCTAGAAAAGATGAGACATTCAAAGGTATCCTAACAATTTTAAGCCTGTAACAGCTGAATGGCAAGAGAGCCATTTTACTCCACTATGATACAGCCATCACTGGCTGGAATTGAAATTTAGACACCAATCCTGTGGTTACTAGTAAACAAAAAGTTTAATTGAAGAGGTGTCACTAAATTAAAAAACTGAAAATATGTTTTAAGAGCAACGTGCACTGAGGAAAATATGATTCTAAGGTATTCTATGTAAAGAGAGATTATAGATAACAGAATTGGCAACCAGGCATGCCAAATAAATTCCATGAAAGATAGTTTTCATGACAATGTACTACCTGCATTTTGCTAACAATATTTCCCTAAAAATTAACAACCCTATTGAGTTATATTTCATTTTAAACTACTACAGACTTTTAGGGGAAATAACCATATGTAGTTGATAATGATACAATAACAATTGTGAAAATTCAAACAAATGAATCGATACATTCCCAGAATAGCAAACTGGAGTTCTTTGTCAAAACAGAAGATCATAGAGAAATAGCCTGAATCTGCAATTTATCAATTAAAAGTCAAGATTTCATGAAATAAGTTATGGGATGGATGGATTTTAATACCAAAAATATTTTAATTAATTCCCACCATAGATATGTTAAATAAGATAATGCTGCAAATGAGAAAAACAATTTAAGGGGAATATCACAAGTAATCTGATCTGAGAAAATAAGCAAAATTGATTACATGGACGAAAAAAAGAAAATTCTGTGAAAAAAAATAACATTGGGCGAGAGGGCACAGTTAAGGCATCTTACAAAATTCCTCATGGCTTTGGCTTATTAAAGTATTTTATACTATGTTTTTAAAGAGATTTGAAAGCATCTGAAAACCATACAAATTGTTTGAAATCCCTCCATGGCAAATTTAGACAGTTTCTGAGCATCATTCAGATGTTTGCCAAGGACAGTAGGAGAAGTCCTCCTGAGTCTATCTGATAATATATGGCAACACAGAGGTCAGTGCAATGTTCACAAGTCATTATTATCTGGAAGGAAGGGGACTGTGGAATTTCCATTGGTTGGAGAGCAACCCAGCTTCAGTTTTTCCAGATAATCTGCATATACAGTTTTGTGGCACTGGAGAGTTGTTTTTTTTTTTTTTTGGTACCGGGATCTAACTCAGGACCTTTCGCTTGAGAGGCAGGTGCCTGCACCAGAGCTAAGTCCCCGGCCTAGACATTGGAGAGTTTTGAGTGCATCTTCTACTTTGAATCTTTCTACATTAACACAATCTTCCAACTAGTCTAATATTTCAGTGACTGTAAGAACATAAATACATGTTCTGTGCTTTTGGTCTTGGTTCTCTACTAAGCCAGGAAACTGCCTAATTTTCCTTTGACTCCCAACTCCACAAACTTCCTTCATGGCAGCCCTTCAGGCTCCTCCGGGACAACACACTGCTCTAGGGACTGAGGGCTACTCACCAGCGGCACGTCCTCCTCCGGCTCGCTCTGAAAGCGCACGCTGTCGGTTCTTGAAGCCCTGGCGGTCAAAGGTCCACGTGCGTCAGCAGGCGTGTGCGGCGCTGGCCTCGGCCCTTCCACTCAGTGTGGCCTGCTGTGACTCTCCAGGAGGGTGGGCCTGGAGGCCTGGGCCAGGGGCCAAGGGGTCGCGGGCAGGGGTGAGCGAGGCCGGGGGACTCAGAGCCCACGTTGCCCTGGGATTGGGTCCTGAGGGAAGGCCGAGGCCAGGGACTGAG